CTTTATTATTTATTAAAAGCAGGGGTTTTCACGTCAACGATTTATGATGAAGATTGTATCTTTGAAGATCCAACCATTAAATTCCAAGGTAAAAATCTTTGAGCTTTTATTTGATTAGACATCTTCAGCTGTTTCATTTATGCCAAATCATCAGATACTGAGGAGATCCCTAACTGATCTGAAACTACATTCAATCAAATTCTCATCTCTAATTGTTCTATGAAAGTCTATAAGAGTCTGCTTGCATTACTTGGAATTCAATCTTCATTCCCCTTGCTTTTTGATCAGGCACTAAGTTGTATTCACGCAATTTGAACTTGCTGGTTCCTTTCTTCGATTCTCCATCAATTGGATTACAAAACATTGAGAAGGTAAACGATCTCTACAAACTTAAAATTGATTTCATAAAAACTGCATATTCACATAAAGTCTCAACTTTATATCATGTCATTCGAGCCAATCCTGATATATTTGACAGTGAGAACTATTTTAGGAAACATATAGTTAAATCATCACCCCAGCTTATAGTCCAAACAGCATAGTTTGGGAAATTTGGTGTAGTGATTGAGAACTGGCTGGATAAAGCTGTTTTTTATTTTATAACTTCTCTTTCCTGTATAGAATGTCAAGCTCCTTGATCAATTGCCCAAACTCAACATACTACTTTGAAATCTGTCATAAAATTCGTGTTTTTGCCTCAAGTGTTTAAGTGCTTACTTCAAAGGAAATTTTTTTAGCTGAGGGTTTGTAGCAAAACAAGAATATACCCCCTTGGATTCACTCCCTTAAGCCAAATCGCATGTTCACTCTTTATAATCTTACGTTCTTAGGATTTTAAGGCCCTTTTGGGCATTTTGTTTTGTGATTTGGCTTTACATGGTCCCTGTGCTTATGCATAAGTTTTTCCTCTCTTTGCTTTATTATATAATCATGCTAAAATAAGTATCACTTGTCATACCATATACTTCCACGATGCTTATGTTATAAATCATTTTATTGGAGACAATCATTTATTGAATTATCAGTAAATTTCTGGTATAATTGAGGACACTAAAAATTTGGCAAAAAAAGGAGTTTTAGGGTTGCCTAGATCTTAAATTCTTGGTACATGTACAAGACTTCTTGGCTTCACCCATTAAAAATGAGCAGCAGCGCTTGGCCCTCCTCCAAGCTTGCTTGTACTGGATTTGGAACTTCTTGTTGTTCACAAAATAATTCTCGGATCTACATTTTACTGCAGCATTTCTTCGATGACCACTCCTTGGTTCCATACTTTATCCCACATGCGCTTTTTTAGGCAAATGCCTTTTGACACTTTGCTATTGTAGTCCTGTAATCTAGGCTGCACGGAGGATTCTTCAAGAGTTCACTGTGGAGAACTCTGTGTAGTTGATAGTTTAAGTTTTTGTAGCATGATCAGTGTGGATTCATAGTTTAGTGCAGATGCATAGGATATCCAGCAATTCTTGGTATATCTCCTTCTAGCAGCCTCTAATGCTAGTGCTTATGTTTTAGAACATCTTAGGTTGCAGTAGGAGATTATAGCTGGACTTGTTTTATCTATTGATTCTGATTAATCAGTGCTGCCAAAATCACTCCTACCATCGCCGCCATATAGGGGATGAGAGAATGGAAGATGAATGGCTATATCCTATGGGGCAACCATGTGGACAAACGCATAGGTGTCTAAGATAACAAGAGTTGCTGTCTTACAATTTGCTCGTGCAAGTTTATAGTTCTAATATGCCGGGGGGTGGTGGGGGAGTCTGCACTGAAGAACACATGCAATTATTTTCTTGAGCTAAACCTTTTCCTTTTCCACTTGGAACTATTCACTATTTGATGTTGCTGATAACAATGCACAGTAATATGACTTTGCATGCAGGGTGTCAATTCCGAAACATATTTTGTGCTGGCAAGATGGAAACTAAGGTGCTTAATTGGTTTTGATGAAATCTCCCTTTCCTTTATTGATGGTTTTTGTTTGGAATTTCATTTTTGCTTGTAGTGTTTCTTAAAATAGCAAAGAGAATTTTGCCTCGAAAAGAAGAAGATTTTTGCATCTTGAAATGTTCTGTTTGCATGAGAAATCTAATTGTAAGGTTGTCTTAATCTTTTCTAATTTGGAGAAGGTTTATCGATAAGGCATCAATTGAAATTTAACCGCATTGAATATGTGAATCTGCATAAGCACTCTATGTGCATGTGTCCAGTAGGTGGCTGTGGATGGATTCTGAATATACTACTCAATCAGGAATCCCATAAATGGTTATTTCACTGTATGTTGCCTTTTTAGGTCTTCCTAAATCAATTGTTAGTCTTGTCAAGCTTTTAATTTTATATTTCACACCATCCACTATGGCTCCTGCTTAATTACTGTACTAACCTGTTCATCTAATCTGCAGAACATACCTGAAATTCCCATGGAGGCCTCTCATTTCAATCGACGGAAGCACGGTCTATGAATTAGATAACAAGCTTAAAGTGAGATGAAACCTTCTGCTTTTGACAATATTATTTCTTATGACATGTTTCTACATCGTGGCTCCGATATTAATAAGGGGTTGTAACTTTCCATTTGACAGATTGTCAGGCATTCTGAGAGCTGGAATGTTTCTGCACTTGAAGCTATTGGTCAGATATTTACCCCTAGCTTTGATAGACCTGGTGAATGAATTTGAGAAAACGTCTGGAAATCTAAAGCTGATGTAATCAGATCTCTGCAATTTGAATAAAAAGTCCTCGTGGTTTTAAAGACAATGTAGACTTTCGTATGGATTAAGTTAGCAACCATCATCCTGTCTGCTCAAAGAAACTCTATAGTTGGATGGAAAAACAATGAAAGGAGTTCCATTGCCGGGACTTGAACCCGGGTGAGAGCCGAGTATCCTAACCAACTAGACTACAACTGTCTCTGTTCGTTCTCCTGTGGGAACTAATATACAACTCTTGTTGAAATGCATGGTTTTTCCTGGAATAAAAAACACATAAATCACCGCATGTTCTCTTGCTGGTAGAGCATGAAATATGACAGACGGCTGGAGCACAAGGCAAAGAGAAAGGCTGAGGCTTGATAAAAGCGAGATAGCGCTGTTATTAGAGCTGGGATGTGCTTCTATTTCCCTGGATTGGAGTAGTGCTGTCCCCAAGTCAAGTTTTGCTACCCAAAGAGAACAGAATATTTTCTGCTTGTATATTTTCTTTCGAGGTTGGCTAGATTATTATAAAGGACAAAAGGTATGCTATTGCAATGATGGTAGGAGCATGGCCACGAAGCACAAGAAGAATATTTGCGTTGTGCGTAAAAGTATTAATGAGAGCTACTCATGTTTTAGCGCAGAAAGTCTTTCATCACCTTAATAACAAAAAGGAACCAACCACCTTGAAATTTTCAGTTCTTGTTTGGAGTGAGTGTCTGGGAATCCTAGGTGCTGTGGTGGTGGAGATGGCGGTGGTGCATGCGTGCATGGTTTCAATATTTCCTTGCTTTTCTTTTTAGATTAATATGAGTAGAGATGGCGGTGGTGCATGCGCGCATGGTTTCAATATTTCCTTGCTTTTCTGTTGCTGGTTCATGTGTGGCTCACGAATAGTAGGGCGTACCACGACTAATCTCACGAGCCCTGAAGTTAATGACCATGTAAGCCTCCAGTGGTCATCATATAAGTAATTAAGGACTCGAACCTGAGACCACAAAGGGAACATACTCCTTGATCCCAAGTCTTTATCACTTGGCCACCACCTAGATGGTTATTTTATTGCTTTTCTGTTGCTGGTTCATGTGGGGCTCACGAATAGTAGTGTTTTTGAACTTGAGGTCATGGTGCCCTGTTTCTTCCTACTTAACGACGGAATTGAAAGAAGAAAGTTATAATTTCCGGTGAAAAGGGAGTGGTGATTGCTTTCCTCTAGTCCCCGTCGTCCTTAAAACACTCCAGAAAAGATTTTTAATCAGTCCATCAACTGGAAGCCTTTAGGCGAAGGTCCTTGTGTGACCTTTTCGAGCTTATGATTCGTATCTTGAGAGCTGCTTAAAAATTCGATGTAAGAATAAAAGTTTAAACTATGAAGCTCATTAAGAAAACAAATAATTGTTTTATTTTTACTTTGATGAGTCAGAGTACACATTAATTAGTTAATTAAATATATTATTATTTTGTAAGTTTTTAATTATAATATCATTCGTAGCAATACAAAAGTTTAAAAGTCCATTTTTTTGGGATATTAGACTTCTTAAATTTAAAGTTTATTTTATCTTTGATGGTCTATCTAATTAAATATATATTCTTAAAATTTTAAATTATTTTGTCTTTTTTTTCAACTATATTAAAAAAAAAATTAATTTTGTTTCTTATATTTTTAAATATAAATGATATATGTGGTATCATTTGAACTTTTTAATCAAAGTAAATATTCGACCACATCAAATTATTTTAAAAGGGTTCTATTTAATCAAATTTTAGAAGTTTAGAGATTGAAAAAAGAAAAAACAATTCTCTTACTTTTGGATAACTTGAAGAGGGACATTAATAGTTGGTTGAAACTTCAGGAAGACATTGCAACAATCAAAATCTTAAGGGGAGAAACCGAATTTGCCTCAAACTCAAGGAGAAAAGTTAAATTAACCTATTTTTTATGCAAAATCCTTTAATTTACTATTGTGTTTATGTCAATTATTTATTTTATGTGTTTTAAATTTGGTTAATTAACCTTTGAGTTTGCTCAATTACCCCTTGTGGTTTCTAAATTTGTCGAATTAATTCAATAACCAACTTATGATAGTATTAAACATTTTTATATCTATGAGATGACATTTTATATCCATCCAAGGCTTAATATATTACTGAATAAATTATCTCACAAAAAAAGTTAAATTCAATACAATTCAAAATAATCGACCAAATGAAAAACATAATTGACATAAAAATAGAAGTAAATTTAAGGTTTTTATTTTTTTTTTGTCATATATTTTAGCGGTATATTGGGTTAAATTGATAGTGTTTGATAAATAGCATCGGGGAAATTCTTTTATTTGGTGACTCAAATGAGAATTACATGATAATTGGGGGACAAATCTGTCGTTTTCCCAATAAAAAAATATTAAAGTGGTTTTTTATTTACACAATATATAATCAAATTAAATAACACAACATATATTTGAAAAACCTCGAGATTCAAATATTTTATGGAATAAAAAATTATCAATAATCCACGAATTTGAAAACACGATCCATATTTCTCAAGTTTCAGTCCTTCCTCCAAGCATACAACAACAAAGAGAACCCTCCGATATTGCTCCCACACGACCTAGAAGTAGATGAAGAACATGAACTCCTCCCACAATCACTACTCTCCTCCGCCCATTGCAGCACACTAGAGCACGACGGGGATGGTGATGACAACGACAGTGCCGGCGGAGTCGATGTGGGCCCCACCATGGACATACTCTTCCTCATCAATCTCTTCTCTGGACCACCCATTTGAGGCCATACACCACCATCACCGACTTGAAAAATAAACACACCATGACCATGAGCACCACCAAGACCATTGTTGTTGTTGTTGACCCAATTGAACACATCCCAAAAGAACTCAACTTCGAGCCCACCAACATAGATTCTCTCATTGCCTCTAAATTTCCATGCCAGCCTCTTAATAACAAGACTAATTTCGCCATCAACTTTAACCTCAAGCTTGCCCCCACTACACTCTATCCCAATTTCATGCTTGGACCCCAAGAAATTAGCCCTGGACACGTAGCTCTTGCGTCCAAACACATGCTCCCTCCGAGACAACAAAGCCGGCTCATGACCGAGTTGGCGAGTCATGACCAACCCGGATCTCCGAGTCAACTCTGAGTAAAGATCACCAAGAAAGAATTCCAATCTTGCATCGCAGGAGATGGCAATGTAGAAGCGAGATTCGGGCTCAGCCGAGCTGTGAGAGAACTCAGCTCGAGTGAAGTCCCAGTAAAGCTTGATTCTTTGGTAATGGTGGTGGGTCAGGTAGAGGGATTTGGAGCCTGGTTTGTTTCTAAATAAAGAAAAGGATGACGGGTATAGAGAGATGGTGATGGAGAAAGAATCAGCAGCGTAGATGGTTAGGGAGTGAGAGAAGAGAGATTTTGACCAAGTGAGCGTGAGATAGGTTGGTGAGTTGCAGAGTTGAGTTTGGTAAATGCAAGTAACGAGATTTTGAGGCACTTGAGAGGTACTCGAGAGTGTGCTGGGATTGCTGAAACATGCTGGGATCATGTTGGTACTAGCTAGCGTGTTCTTTAACAAAACATTCAGTTGGTGAACTCACCCAGGGAAGTTTGAGACGGAGGGAGGGAGGGAGGGAGGGAGGTGGGGGGTTGTGCACGAGGGGTTTTGAAGAGCTGGTTTGATGGGATTATTTGTTTTTTTTCTTCTTCTTTGCTATGATTAGGTCACAGCAGGGGAAGGGAGGTGGTGCCTCTTTGTATTATGATTTTTTTTTTTTTTTCAAGGGCATTAATTTGGATAGAGTTAGTCTGAAAGTGAAACTTAATCTTACTAGGATTCTTTTTTTTTCAAACAAAGTAGTCAAAAGAAAAAAATGAAACTAAAAAATAATTAAAAGATAAATTTTGTCTCTTGTTTATTAGGAGTGCCAAGTACTTAAATACCCCAATCCATGATTATTAATCATAAATTTTTAATGAAAAAGGGGTTTTCATAATAAATAAAAAAAGGAAAATATAAGATGGAGAGAACATGTTAATAATTCATGACTCACGGATTGATTCAGTTCAAGGCTTGAATAGCCCGTGAAGGAGTTGACTTGAAATTTTAAATTAATGTTTTTTCAATTTAAATATAATTTTATGAAAACACTTGCACTGCACGATTAAATATTCATTTAGAAAGTGTTTATTATTATTGTCTGCTCGTGTTTTTAAAAAAACTTGAATTATTTTTATTTTAAATTTTAAATTTTAATGTCCTGATTTTAAAATAAATATAAAACAAATATTTTAATATATTTTTAAATAAAAAACACTTAGAAAAATAATTCCTATCATAATATCTAATACAAACTTAATCTGTAAATAAAAAAATAATAATAAAAACCCTTCTAATAAAAAAAACTTATTATTGACATCATGTGATGCACGAAATAAAATATGACATGCCACAATTTTAATTTATTTTTATAAACTACATGGCTAATTCGCTGTCTTCGTCAAGAATGCAATATGGTGTTTTACTGTTTTATTAGAATTCATATAGGTCTCTTTGTATTTCTAATTAAGAACCGCCTCACTGTGAAGATATTATTACGTCCTGATTTAGGTTTTTCTTTTCAAATTGGTACTTTGTGGGACCAATATGAAAATTAATCTGGTGAATATGAATTAAAACAACTCCATTAATTACTAAAAATATTAAAATATTTGAGATTGAACAGTGAGACACCTTAACATTATTTTTTTATTCAATTCCCTTTTTGTTGAACCTTTTTGTCATTTAAGGTTTTTTTTTAATTGGATCTTTTGGCTTCTAATTTAACAAACCTCCACCATTTTAAGATAATACAAAATAAAAAAGTATTAAAAAATAAAAAAAATGAACATAAAAGAAAAACATACAATTCACAATGAGGTGCGATAGTTTCTCATAGAAAAAATACGTTAAAAAAATTACTCGTTTCATTTTATTGGTATTTCCCTCTAAAATTTTATATATAACCAACAAAAATATTTTATGTAATTCTGTTAGTGATTAAACAATAATATGGTGGCATTTGCAGTGCTTTTTTTCAATTCTTTAAAATATACCAATGAACTTAATCTGTTGGAAATATCATTGGTAATTATTTAAAAATATTTTAAAAAAAATTTATATAATAGAAGTAGAAAATAATTAAATTAAATTAATATAAATCAACATTCAGTAATACTCAAGAATATAGTTGCTTGGAAAAAAAATCAACTCAAAAAAATTTACAGCAAATAAATAACACAAAAAAAGTAAACAACAAAAAATAAATAAATCAACAAAAAAAAACTCACCTAGCCTAGAAAACCATTTCCAGAACCCATAATCCAGCAACAAATAATTAAATTAAGAACTAAAATAAATCCAACAAAATCAATCTCATATGAGAAAAAGAAGAAAAAAAAAATCTTATCTTAATTTAATTATGAGTGAATCTAAGAAAAGAAAAAATAAATTCATAAAATATGTTAATTAAAAAAAACTAATTAAAAAAAAGAAAAGAAAACATATTTGCTCGTGAATAAGATAAAAAGAGAAGGAGTTGAGGAGAGAAGAGAAATAAAAAAAAGAATGTTAGTGTTTTTTTACCGAAAAAGAAGAGGAAGAGACGTGTTTGTTATGAAATAAGAGATTCTAGTCTTTTAATTGAGTATTTTACCAGCGGTTTTAATGATAAATAATTAAATATTAATATTTTTTATTATTTTATTAGTGATTATGTCTGTAATATTTAATTTAAATTTTTAATTTAATAAAAAGTTTTAAAAACCCCCAAATGTTACCAACAACTTTTCAATTTGTTGGTGATTCTATCTATAATATTTAATTTAATTACAAAATTTTAGAAACCCCTCAAATATCACCGATAACTTTTCAATCTGTCAATGATTCTGTCTGTAAAGAATAGTAATTAACAATGTAATTAAAAAGTAAACAGTTTTAGAGCTCTCTAAAAAATACCGATAGAATTAATCCGTCGATGATCTCGTATGTAATTAAAAACATGAACAGTGCAATTGAGAAGTAAACAATTCTATAACTCTCTATAATATACCGGTAGAATTAGTCCATCGGTAATGTTATCTATATAAATAATATATCATCATATTTTTTTGATTTTTTATTTTTTTTCATTATAATTCCTTCAGTATATACCGGAAGATATTTTCATTGGTTTTCACTGATAAATATAATGAGAGAATATTTTGTTAGTAAAATTTACTTAATTTACTTACATAAACATTTTAATGATGTTTTTGTTTGTATTTATCATTTTTCTTTTGATAATGAAATTACATATCTTGTGTATGCATCAATAGATCAAATCTTAAATTTTAGTGTTGTTGGGAGGGCAAAGGCCTAGGAAAACACCAGCAAAGTACAGGGTTGCCACCCCACAAGTGTCATCTAGCATATGCTTAATACAACCAATAGGGTTTCATTAAAACTAATTAAAGACTTAATTAATTATTCTCTTTTAAAGTACAAATTTCTTTATGACAAAAGCATTGAATCACAGGGAGCTGTTTTGCCATTAATGATTAAACCTACTGAAGTGTGAGTTTAAATAGCATATACTTCAGAAGAAAATCATTCTCTCTACCAAAATATTAAATAAATATTTATATTTGTTCTCACATCTATACTACCAAGTTTAGTTCTTGAATGATGATCAAAGCACAAGGCTTCCATCATTCACCATCCATCATCACAGCCATCGGTAGCAGCTAAGGCTTACAGTTCATGTTCCCTTTCCTTGATTGGCGCCTTTGAAAGGGCTCTTGAACACCTCTCTCTCTCTGTCGTGACTGTGAGCTGGGCTGCACTGTCCCCTCATAATTCCCACCCACAATTACAAGCAGTGACTTTGATTTTTATTCTCTCTTTAGAGCTACAAAAGGGTTAATACTCCTTTTTTTATTATCGCTTTCCTTCTTCCCCTTTTTGTTTTTTGGCCATCTCGAAGCAACATTGTCAAACAGAGATGAGCCCAAGTGTAAAGGAGACTCCCCAGCCACTTTTGCAGTATTTGCTTCACTAATCACTTCTATGACATTAGGGCACTAGAGAAGCCTCTACTTTTGAGGGTGTTCACTGCCTGTTGGAAATGCAAAATTGGATGCTTATGCCCAAACGTTGGAAATGCAAAATTGGATGCTTATGCCGAAACATTATTTTACACACACACACACACACAAGTAGACAACTCCACTTGATGGTGTGCGTGAATGATCATCCGAACAAAAAAAATCAATATAATCTACATGGAAAGCTAATTTGGTCCGCGAACACAGCATATATGTCTCTTCTTTTGCACCCAATTGTTTATTTCCTGGCTTCCAAAAAGATGCCAATCAAGGCTTGCTACATTGTGGACAAAATACAGCAATTCATAAGCTAGTTCCATCGTGCCTTTGGATTTAAATGAGTTTTATTCGATTCTTTTTGTTTGATGGCTTGGCATGCTAGCCATGCTTTAGCCTATGCTTTGCTTGATAGTTTGCATGCTTAGTTTATTAGAAGAAAAGGTTCCCATTAGACAAAAAAAAAAAGTATATAAAAGGGCCTCCTGTGTCCCTATCGTATGCTTATCATATCGGTGATGCCTTTTCTTATCTTTTTATTTCCTTTCTTTTATAATATTTTTATATATATTCTCGTTGTTAATTAGTAAGAGTTATTGCTTAAAACAAATTCATTTTCACAGCCAATGTAAGGGTGGGAGGAGCTCTTAATTATAAAGACCCAGCGTGGATGTACTAGCATGCATTTGTGTTAATTATTCGAATAATTACTTAGCTTTCACATTAAGTGACAAATTTTCTGTAGACGTTAATGCTTGATTTTCCTTATTTGGATGGCATAAACACCCATACGCTATGTCTAACGTACATAATATTGTCTAGCATATTTGCAGCAAATCCCATGTTCTTTGCTACGAGACAGATTGATATTACGATAGTTTTTATTTTTTTATTTAATTATAAAAAAAATATTTAATTAGTTAAATATCTTTTATTTTTTAGAATAGATCTCATATATAATTGTATTTTAAATTTTAAATTTGTAAAAAGTTAAAATAATTTGTTTTTCATTTATAAAAATCTATTTTTCATTTATTTCCCGTACAAAAGCTTATCTCAAAGCAATTTCAATAATAATAAAAAAAAAACCTATTTGATTAGAAACACAACTAAAAATATTTTTAAAAAATTTATTTTTAAAATAAAACCACAACAATAAAAACTACCAATCTATTCACGATAACTTTTGAATATATAAATTTATTCAAGATATAGAAATGATTGTAGAAGTCGTTGAATTAATGTTGTTTCTTTTTTCATTAATTATTAGTGCCATTTCTTTCACACGGCGATTTTGACACGAGAAAAAGAAAGGAGAGAAAGCAAATAAATGTAGAATTAAAAGGGCGGTGCCCTTTGTTTAAAGGAAGGTGATCTCAATCACACCCTGGTATTTGCCCTTAAATTAAGAACTCTTTATTCATCAATAAATGAGCATGCTATACCCGATATTGTTTCTACCCACACAATGCTTCTATACCACAAAAATAAAAATAAAAAAGGGGGGGAAGAAAAAACCTAAGGGATCTTGTTATAAAGCATTAAAGCTCTTTCAATTAAATTCACTGTCACGAAATTTATTTCTGTATAATTGAACTATGTACTATGCCGTCAATTTTTTTAATGACAAATATACCCCTATTAGTACTTACAGTGAGATTGAATCAAATCAAACTTTTCTATAAAAAAAAATGAAAATTAAATATTCAGTTTCTTGCCATTTCTATTT